TAACATGAAACAACATCGAATATATGTATTTGAAAATTACAATATCTTACAATTAGAATATTGTTTAACTGTTTCCATATTTATTCATTTTGTATATTTTTATTTGTAAAATACGTTTGTACTGTATATATATTATAAATACATATATACACCCACTCACATGTAATTACATTTATATATATAATATCTATGGTAATTACAACATTTTGTGCAATTAATACAGTCTGTTTAAAAATTGTATTTAGTATTTATATTTCATGTTTTTTGCAAATGCGTTCGCAATAGTGTGATAAATAGACTGCGGATTTTTATACATTTATAGGAAATTTGAAAGTATAAAAATGCTCACAATAAATAAAATGTATAAAAAAAAAATCCAAAATATAGAGTTTTCTATAACTAACATTTAGTATAATTTTCACAAAATAATTTTGAACGAAAGTTCAAGTTTTTAAATTATATTTCTTAAAATATAAATTGCATAAAAGTTCGCAGTCTAGCGTAAAACTATTTATTCTTTAATCCGTGTCGTTACAATAATATTTTTGTTTTTAATGCAAAACACATATGTACAGTATATGACTCACGGATTACAATATGCATAGTTAGATGTATATATCAGTTTAAAATTTAACATTTAATAGAAAAAATATTTTTGGCAAATATTTACAAAAAAGAATTACTCTTCGATTTCGATAATTTGAGTGATGTATAAAGTTAGAGGATTATAAAGTTGTTTATTAAAAAGTTTACTCAAAACTACAAAACATTGTTCAGAAAATTTCATTGATCCAGTCACGATTATAGGTACTCAAAACATTGAACGATTATGAAAAGATATTCGTGCAAATATTCCCATATATAGTCATAGAAAGTATCATTTTAATCATTTGCTAGAATTTATGTTTAAAAAGATATTTGACGAATGAATATATTGGGTTGTTGGAAAGTTCATGCCTGTTTATTAAATGATATTGGAACATATCTGAATATGTTAAAATTATTGAGAACATATGATTTGTATACATATTCTTAAAAGTGATGTTTCAACACATCTTCTTTAGAAAAGAAGTTACTTGAAATAGATTGATTTGTGTTAGTTTTGTAACCTTTTGAAAATGGAAGAAAACAAAGTGTATTTTATACTTAATGCTTTTTTATTATCGAAAAGGTAAAAATGCCACATAAGCAACAAATAAGATATGTGCTGTTTACGGAGAAAGAACTGTTCGCAAGTAGTTCGCTAAGTTTAGAACTGGTGATTTCGACTTTAAAGACCAAGAACGTTTGAGTAGAGCCTCCACCATTCATGATAACCAAATCAAGACACTGATCGAGAATAACACGACACGTGAATTAGCAAAGATATTAGAAATATCAAAAGCGTCCACGAACATTTAGTGATGCTTTTGGTTACGATGTATGGGTTCTAT